CTTAAAGTTCTTTCCCTAGAAGCAGGGGATTCTGCTTTTCAGCAGGAAGACCCACCCAAGGGCGGAATCCCATGGGTGTGTTTCTACTCTCCTTGTCCAACAAACATATAAGCATTCATAATATTAGTCATTTTGTATGGACACAGTAAGCGATGCATTAAGCTTATAGAATTGCTCTCCTGGGGTCATCTCTATCTCAGACTACAGTGCTCAGGCCAGATTAGTTTTTTTCTATCCCTAGCAGGGTTCTAGTCTCATCGTTACCTTTGGATCGTGACAGCATTTGTCATGATCAAGCTCTTAACTTATAGTGAAGAATTGTGGTGCTTTGTCCAGGCCCATCTCAATGCCAGGGTAGCACATAGCTTACCGCTTGCCCTGGTTCCATCCAGTCCCTCCTCGGGACCCTGTTTTTGGGGGCGCTAGGAAGTGAGGGCAACTGAGGCGTAAGTTGAGAAAGCAAATGCCTGGGAATGAATAATATTCTAAGCCAATTAAATCCCAAGTTACAAAAGCATAATATTATCTTCTTGTGTCTATACAAAAGGACATTGCTTTAAAGTAGACTATTCAAAAGACATAAGGAGAGGAGAAAGGCAATATTAACTTACAAGTTCAGTGTCCTAGAAAGATCTGACCTTACAAATTAACAGAATCTGATTAGGGGAAAAAAGCTGATTAACTGGCTGGGAAAGAGAGTATAGAGAAGTGGTTACAGATAAACGAAAGAACGGGAGTGACTCAGGAGCACTGTGATGGGTGCAACCTGATAAACCTAAGCTCCCTGTAGCAAGGGAGAAAGGATAAAGCAATGTCATCCTACACCTGTTATTAAGAAACTAAACAAATTTCTAAATAACCAGTTCTAATCATATTTATCCACGTTACAAAATTACATTACAGAGAGCACAGCGGGTAGGGCGTTTGCCTTACAAGCGGCCAACATGGCTGACCCGAGTTCGATTCCTCCGCCCCTCTCGGAGAACCTGGCAAGCTACCGAGAGTATTCGATATGCCAGACACAGTAACAACAAAGTCTCCAATGGAGACGTTACTGGGCCCGCTCGAGCAAATCGACGATCAACGGGAGGGCCTTTACCTTTTTACCTTTACCTAGAATACACCAAAGCCCCTCTCCAACACTAATCACATATTCAATTTTAATTTTCTCTTTTTTTTCTTTTTAAAATTTGTCAAATTTCACTTTAATCCAGTTAATCATCACTGCAGAATCTCAGACAAAATGGAGTTCTGATGAGCCTTGAGGTCTGATTAAAGAAGAGATTTTTTCCCAAAATACAGAGGTTATCGACAAATTATTTTTTTAGATTTGCAGTGATGCCAAATGCAATTCAATTTGGCATCACTACAATGTTTACATTGTAAGAACAGAACATTCTTCAAAGGAAACATACTGAATACATCCTAATGTCCAAAAATCAGGACTAGCAGTTACGTAGAGTGAAGTTGGCTTATCTTACCATTCATCTGCTAAACCTGTTTGTTTCATAACCCAGTCTTCTTTAGAGATGCCATGGCAATCTAATTTCCAGACCCCTAAAACCCTGTCCACAATGGCTTATGAAGGAAAGGATAAGAGTCAAACTCAGCTTGGCTTCAGTTATGTCTAATGTCAATTTGCTTGTGTTAATTTGCTTATTCCATAGAGTGAAACATGCAAGCAACCTTTATTAAAGGGAATAAGGTCAGGCTTCCTAGGAAGTTTTTCACCCCAAAAGATAGACAGGAATGTGCGGTCTCTATATCTCTATGGCTACACAGAATCACAGACATGTTTATCATTCCATTATAATTCTTTATACTCTAGACCTTGTGTTCTCAAACCACTCTGCTTTAGAGAAAATCTCGATGTTTTAGTAAAGTACAAACATCATCAGTATAATGTTATTGTGTCCACGTGTATGTTCTGGATTAAGGCACTTTTTATGTTTGAATTAAAAACCACATTACTTGATAAATATCAGAGAAAAATGGGAGTGGGTAAGTTGGAAATGAAGTAGACTTTACTTTTCGATGAATACAATCATGCTAAGAAAAGACTCCAAAAGTGTTTAGTTTTCTAAATAGCTTTATAATGGAGCAAAAACCGTCCTCTTGTAAAAAGAGCAAAAGGTCCTTAATCTAATATAATGGACTCCCTTTTGATCAAACTGGGAAATCAACAATAAGGCCATTCATTTCTCCAACATCATTCACCTCCATTTTCACCCCAATGTGCCATTAAATAACTTTTCATGGAGTGATAGCAGGGCTGGAGTGATAGCACAGTGGTAGGGCATTTGCCTTGCTTGCAGCCAGCCTGGCCGAGCCAGGTTCAATTCCTCCGCCCCTCTTGGACAGCCTTGCAAGCTACCGAGAATATTCAATATGCCAAACACAGTAACAAGAAGTCTCATAATGGAGACGTTACTGGGCCTACTCAAGCAAATTGATGTCTGTCTTTACGTAGAAAAGAATTTTTAGAACATATCAGCTTATTTCTATTGTGCTTTTTAAGAGAGAGTTAAATGGCATAGAGTCATTTCCCAAAAGAAAAGTCACCCTCAATTTCCAACATAAACATTTTATTCCATAATTCTCTGGATTATTAATACATGATATTTCCTGCATAGGATATCAACAGTTCTCCTAACCCTGAATGACTAAGACCTTAAAGTAAGGACTGAATATGCTTTTTTAGTATCCAGATAACATTCTTTAACATGTAATTTCTTGATGTCAAAAAAGCCAAATCCTTTCTTCTTTAATTATGTTGACTCTAAAACATATTACTTCAAAAACTGTTCCTATGTTTCAAACTTTTAAAGCCTATTTCTCATCCAATAATATAAACACATTTACTACAATGAATCTGGTGTATAACTCATACCCTATTTTTCCCTGCCAAAATTGAAATAAGGTTCTTTTTAGTTGTGATCACTATTCTTCTTAAAGATGTGGGAAATCACAAATTTTAAGTGAGTTTTCTCCACATGGAAATAGCTGTACCACTGTCTTACCTCCCAGAGTTTCAACAGTTAGAGAATGTTTTACTACTCAATTTTTGTATTTAAAGAATTAGTCATAAGGAAATGAGTGGTAAGCTGGCCCAAACCTGGGTTACCCTGAGGCAGGAAGTGGCTGAGAAATTTGTAGCAGATTTTAAACTTTTTTTTAATCTGCTGGCCACTTTGGTGAGACACACACAAAGGACCACCTACTCCACCATTCCCTTCTAGCCATTATAGAAACAAAAAATACTAATCCCCATCCGACAGATGGGGAGGTTACTTCAGATAAAACATCACCAAGTAACCACCAAGGATTTTACAGCTATTTAATATATGACAGGAATAAAATTATAGATTTGTCATACTATAAACATTAAATAGGGCAGTTCACAGACCACCTAGTATTCACTCACACATTATACTATAAACTCATACTCTAGGACTATCCAAAATGCAGGCATTTTCTAGGTGATATGTCTGCATATGGAGTATGCATAAAGCTAAGACAATCCTGGAAATGACCTGTAACCTCTCTGATAACTGAAAATGAGATCTCTTTATAGAGTGAGGACTTAGGACCACTAATCTAAAAAGCAAAATCGGTTGAAAGTAACCAACTACCTTTCTCAATTCTGAGTATAAATGACACCTTGCTATTGGTGTGTACCACCACTGGCTCACGGCTCACAGCTGAACGTAGTTTAATTAACACAAATTACAGTGCCAACATCAACATGTTAAAATATAGATACAGATTCACACTCTGCCATGAAAGTTAACACTGTTACAGCTGTTACCTAAACTACAGCATTTTAAATTTAAAACAATGTTTCTTAAAAATCCAAATTCGCACTCAGAACTAGTGGAAGGTCAAAAATAGGAAAGTGAACTGAAAAATAAAAAATGTTTCATAATAACTAAGATTTACATATAAGACTTAAATAAGAATTTTAAATATTTTATAAATATTAAATAATCTTTAAGAACAAAGTGACTAAAATTAATGGTGCTAATTTTCCAGAACTATTAGGGCTATTTTTTATAGCAACCGAAAAATGGGCTAAGCTAAAAATTCCAAATTCCAAATTTAGTCAGTTTTGAATTCACCCCCTTCCTATAACCTCAAAGTTTTAAATAAGATGGTTTATAATAGCAATACTGAAAATAAATCATCTTTGAATACTTTTAGATTTTCCCCAGCATACCACAAATCATATCCTGAAACCCAAACAAAGTAATCACTGAAATGTTTGAGATCTGCTGCTAAAATTCAGAGCTACAGGACAAGGAGAGTGAACCCAGGGGAAAGGCAGTTCTGTCCCTGTGTCTCTGTGTGCTTGCTTTTGAGGTCCATATCCATGTCTTCACATTGAGTCCATAAACACCAGCAGTAACACTAAAATAATAACAAATTAAAATAGGCTCTGGTTAGAGGGAGAAGATTCCTTTCCTGCCGCCCTGCTGAGATGGATTTGACCACCGAAGGCAGAAAAGCCATTAGCATCCTGAATTAATGGGTACAGTGGTTTTCAAATAAGATATTTTCATGATGGACACAATGTGGACTCAGCAAAGTTTCTCCTTCAAGAAAAATATGGCATCTATTTCAAATAACTCTGATTAGGCTTAATACCATTAGGGAACCATTAAGAATTTGTGTTGTTATTTTAATGTTTTAACTATCAGTTACTTTCTAAACGAAAAATTAAGGGTAGCTAATTTGACCGACAGTCAAGGTTTAGGAATGCAGCAGCAAATTCAAGGTACAAACAAGCTGAAGATATAGATAGGCCCCAAAGTTTAGAATATTTTAGGTTGTCAGATTTGAGCCTTTTTCATCATCCCTTATAAAGCAATTATTACTTGACTGGCACTTATAAATAAAAATTTCCTTCATCACATTCCCCCCTGAAAAGCTCCGAAATACTACATGACTTAAAGAATCCTCACAAAATTTTACTAGGAAAAAAATATCAATTTTAGTAAAAAACCAAATTTTACAAACCTAATGAACAAATTCTCAATCACTATGAGTTGCCTATAATGGATAGATATATTTTTAAGAAGACAACGATATTAGTTACCTTTGTAAATTAATTACCCAAAATACAAGGGTTTGGGTCAATTTTCAAAATACTTCGTGTTACGTTGTTGCTTTGGGTATTTGGGGGTCAGAGGAGCCACCGAAACGGTACTCAGGTGGCCCAGGGAGTCCCTCCTGTTTATTTTTGGCGATGTGGAACAGCAATTAAATGTCCAGACACCAGGAAGCAGACTTATTTGTGCCTATGATGCTGGGAACTAACCAGGCTACTCACACAATGCCCAGACACCTCCAGGGATCACCAAATGATGCTTGGGGACCATGTGGTCTTGGGGATGAAACTGGTGTCAGTCACATATAAGGCATGTACCTTAACCCCTATACTTCCTCCCCAGCCTCAAAACTCGGAATTTAAAATAGAAAGTTCAAAAGACCACATACAACAAAAATCTGTAAAACAAAACTAATTTTTAAAGAACTTTTTGATTTACTTTCTAGCTTGTTTTATTATACATATATATATAAAAAAAAAGTCCTTCAAACATATTTTCTGTATCACACATAAAAAATTCCACATCCAGAACATCTTGTCTTTCAGAAAATCCTTCTTCTTTCTTCGTTGTGAAAATCTAAATTGTCACTCCTGGCTAGATTTTTCCTCCTTGGCAATTCTTTTTGTTACACCACTGAAATACTTCTCACGGAAGGAATTATGGCCTTGGTATGGCAAAATTTGATCACTTAGCAGATGTGAATACTGGTCCCGGTCCTGGTTGGTTGGGAAATAGAAAAAGAAAGGATGCCTGAGTTATTTCTTTAGTTAACTTGCAACCAAGGCAGCCACTTACATTAAGCAAAAGCTCACTCTCTGGTTTGATTTTCCTTATTACCCGTGTTTGAATTATACCACTATTAATATCTGCATCAAATTTGAACATTCAAAGTGTTTCCACCTACTGTATACCTCCATCTGAGTTACACAGTGATCCTCTGAACAGAAATGACAAATAGCTTTACTGAGAAAACAGCAATTTACTGGGAAGAGAATCATCTCAGGCAACACGTGTCAGGAGGACAAATGCATCTTCTAATTCCTAGTTCTAAACAAATTAAAATCATTTGTGACTCCCAGAGTCATTAAACAAGAAAGTTTCTATTCCACATGGGGTGTATGTATGTATACATATACACTTATATAGGGATATGTCTACACACACACACATATATATATAACAAATTATTGGATTTATGTATCACGCAGAAATAGAAATGGCTTTGAGTTAATCAATTCAGTTAATGAAATAACTATCCCAGGTAATTTGAAGTAATCAGTAGATTGAATATATAAGTTAAACAAGGTGATTTTTCACACTTTTAGTCACACACACTCACAAATCTATTACATATGCACATATCATAAATTTATATAATTCATATATACATTAAAGTTATACTTTCTTTTATATAAATCATACTGCCTGCAGTATTCAAAATTTGGTATTCCAATGTTTTAAGAGTTTTAAGAATCTGTGGTAAAAAAAATAATAAAACAAGTTTAAAACCGGGGTGCGGGGTGACAGTTCAAATAGCTGAGATGCACGCTTTGCATGAGATCTGAGTTCACTTCTGGCACCACATGTTCCTCCCACCCCAGAAATCCCCTCACCCTCAATCCAGTCAGGTGGCTCACTGAGCACTGCTTGGGAATCATTCCACAGAACTGAACAGAAATGAAACAAAAAGGTCACAGAAGTAATAGAGACTCAAGATGCTTGCCTTATAAATGGCTGCTCTGAATCAACCCCCGGCAACACATCTACTCCCACACACACCTCCAGGACTCAGCCCTGACCACAGAGCCAGAAATGTCCCTTAGGATGGCCAGGTGTGGCCCAACTCCTCTCCCTCCAAAGACAAATCCCTGACAGACAATCTCTGTGCTATAGGGACTCAGTGGCAGAAAAATACATGCTACTGGAAAAGCTGGTAAAGACCATTCACTGTAGAAAAACAACTGAGAGGGGGAGAGGCACACCAAAGAAACCATTTTTTTTCTTTATCTCACAGGGAGTAGAGAAGAACCCATGTGAAGTGTCTGATGCCCATGACATCTTCTATGAGGCAGCCCCCTGAGTCCAACATGGAAACTCCTAACAAAAACTCCTCCTAGAGAAGCTCAAAGTTCCAAATTTCTTGGGTCACCAGGGATCTGGTTACCATTTCCATTTAAGTAGAAAAGTTTACGATTCATAAAACACTCTGCATGAAACATTTATTATATCTATCCTCTAACACAACCAATAGCCAACATATACATATAACCTTATATATGCATAAGGCTGAAATGCAAGCTTTGCATGAGATCTGAGTTCATCCCTGGCACCATGTGCTCACAAACCTATTATATATGCACATATCATAAATTTATGTAACTCATATACACATTTAAGGTATACTTTCTTCTATATGAATCATACTGCTTGCAGCATTCAAAATTTGGTATTCAGATGTTGAAGGAATGTTCTCTTTTATCCATATTTCTTCCACTCTATCTTTAGTTTACCAGGTCTCACACTTGAAATGATGATTTTTAACTCTACATATTTTTCATCACCTTTTCACAAGTCTCCTCTATGCACATTCCCTGCCCATCTTATCCAAGAATATCAGGGTTTTTTTTTTCCAATTCAGTATCTCCAAGGCTAAAGTGTACACTTAAAAGGAGAAGAGAGTTCTCAAGCACCACAACGCCTGATTTCCCTCCATAACTCAAACTTGTCCCAAGATTTGACTTTTGTCTAACACTTCCAAATTTGTCTACTACTCCAGTCATGATGCCATCTATGTATCATAAAATTCAAATTCTATCAGTTTTAAGGAAGCAATAAATACTTAATGGAAAATAAAAATACATAGTAGGACACGCCAAAAGAGAAAACTACGGAATAAGAGATTATGAACCACTCTTTACTGAATATTGTAAATACTAGTAAATTCTGCAGCAAAATAGTTAAGGAGATATGAATAAAATATTAAGGTTGTTGATTATACTGTTATTTGCCATCATTTTAATGACCAGAAATTAGAACTCCTGTGGGAAAATCAGGACCCCCCTACAGACAACTGTATAATGGAAATATGTAACTTTCAGGTCATTTTTATCATCCAAAGAAATATGGCAATTTTAAATATTACAAAAATTATATAAGTTCTGATTCAAGAAAGGAACTATTGAATTTTTTTCTGTGTTTTAAGTCTAATTATTTAATTTTCTACATATTTTCACAAGCCCATTGCTCTCTAACTTTTGCGGAGTAGCAAGGGAAGTTGAAAGAGTTTGAATAATCTAGAAAGGGTTATAGATAATAAGTACCATTGCCAAAACTGTAGCCTAGACAAGACTTAAAATTCAAAGCTCTTGCTTTTCCATCACTTTTTTTATATGTATAAGTTATACCAAAAAAATGGTTAGAGTTAATTTCCCACATGGTAGATTGGTGGGTAGTTGAAAATAAAGTTTGACATTTAGAGGGCATTCCTCACTGAACAGCAACATTACGGTAGCACATATTTCAGATCTAAACTTTTAGACAGGATCCCTTTAACCACTGTCCCACCCAACCAATTTCCTGTCCTATCAGTACCACTAATTCTAAACATAAACCACTCAAGGAATTTTAACACAGTTGCCAAAGAGATCAGAGGAAGCCCTTAGAACTGGTAGTGTACTTTTATGGGTACACTGCCCTCTTCTGGCTGGAACAGAGAAATGTATTACAGAACTTTCTAATGTTTCATTTTAAAAGAACATGCAAATAAACAAATACACTGGGTTTACTGGTAAATATAAAATTCATGCTGGAGCTCCTGAAGTGTATCATTTTCATCTAGATCCAAAATGAAGTCTAAAATAACTCTTAAAAAGAAAAGGCAAAACTTTATATTGTTCAAGAGATTTTTGTCTGTTATGTTTGTTTTCAGGTCATTAACTGGCGATGTTCAGAGGGATTGGCTCTACATTCAGGAGTCACTCCTGGCAGTGCTCAGGGGACAATATCAAACCCTGATAAGCCATATGCAAAGTAAGTGCTCTATCTGATGTTCTGGCTCTCTGACCCCAGCAAGTTTTTTTGTTTTTGTTTTGTGTTTTGTTTTTTCACAATGAGCACTACATTAAAAATAGTACCAACAAGGAACAGAAAAGACAACTACTTCAACCACTTACAAGCTGACAAACTTTAATCCAGAAAGAATTAAAAACTTTCTCAAGAACAAACAGAATTGGATGTTTTGCTGTAACATTTGAAATTGGGACTTTAACTGGAGTGAAGGACACTCCCTCCAGATAATACTGTGAGAATATACTTATAAGAGTGTTCCTCATTCTGAGTGTCATAAACCACTCAGATTTTATTTATTTATTTTAATTTTCTATTAGTGAAACGCCACGAGGTGCAGTTGTAGACTTACAAATTTTTGTGCTTGGGTTTCAAGCTATACAACGATCGAGTACCCATCCCTCCACCAGTGCCCATTCTCCACCCACCAATGATCCAAACCACTCAGATTTTAAAGAAACCCAAGAAAGTTGAAAAGAACTTCACTGGTAACTCAGGCAAAAAAATCCAAATTTCTTTCTAGCGTTTTTCCCAGTTGTTATTTGTAATTTATTGTCTCATTCAATTAAAGGGAAGGTGTAATAATAATTCAACCAAGTTTTTGCTTTACTTATGATAAATGAGAGTTTACATAACATGAAATTAAAATATTTTTCCAATATTGATTTTTATACAGTACTCCACAACTACATACTAAGTGACAACTAAGATCTTTGAATTCAGAGAGCTTACCTATTTGCTAGAGGGAGGCAGACATTAAAAAATGGTCAGGGCTGAAGCGATAGCACAGCAGGTAGGGTGTTCGCCTTGCCTGCGGCCAACCCGGGTTCGAGTCCCAGCATCCAAAATGGTCCCCTGAGCACCACCAGGAGCAATTCCTGAGGTGCAGAGCCAGGAGTTAATTCCCGCACAACACTGGGTGACCCAAAAAGCCAAAAAAAAAAAAAAAAAAGAATGGTCAAACTCAGAAACTGGTTAGAATTGAAAAAAAGAGCTCACAAGAATATAAAGAGACACCAACTTAGATGGGGTGAACAGAGCAAACTTCCTTAGGCTTTCCTAAGGAAGTGAAATTTATCTGAGAGATGTGTAAAAGGATGAGTTAAACTTGGGGAAATAAAGGGGAAGAAAACACCCTAAAGAACACAAGAAAGGAAATAGTGCGAGGAGGGTTCGGAAAAGGGGCAGATGCAGCCTGAGAACTGGAAAGCTTAGGCTTGCAGGGACCAAAGGAAAGGGCACAGAAATCAGAGAGCCAGGGGCACATCAGGCTGGCCTACAGGTAGCACTGTAGCACGGTCCTCCCGTTGTTCATCCATTTGCTCAAGCGGGCACCAGTAACATCCCCATTGTGAGACTTGTTAACTGTTTTTGGCATACTGAATTCATCACAGGTAGCTTGCCAGGCTTTGCCAGGCAGGTGGAATACTCTCGGCAGTTTGCCGGGCTCTCTGAGAGGGACAGAGGAAGAATTTAAAATTGTATTCAATGACTTTTCAGGACGGGAGTTTCATGATCTGTTGAGTTCTGAAAGATAATCTGGCAACAGTGCCAGAATGGACTAGGAGACACTGCAGCAGCAGGGGAACCTTATGACACTACAGGAGTCCAGAGCTAGAGCACGTCCTCGGCAGGAGATAAAACCATAGGC